ATTATAAACACAGATTGTTGCTGGATGTGTTGGTGCACGCCTGTCATCCCAGCACTCGGGAGGCTGAGGCAGGAGGATCATTGTGAGTTTGAGACCAGCCTGGGCTACAAAGTGAGCTCAAGGCCAGCCTGAACTGCACACACGCGCGCACACACACACACACACACACACACACACACACACTTTTTACTGGTAAACTGATCCACTCTGATATTAACTCCAGGAATTTGAAAATCCATAAAAATACTGGGACATATACTAAGTGTTCAGCAGCTTTTATTACTTATGGGATGATCATGGAAATAACTTCCACTAATCTGCACATGGGTCACAACCTACAGTTGACCCAGGAACAGTTTCTGAGAAGATGACTATCCAGCCACTCCAGCACTAGGAAATACAGCTTTACATCACGTGGTCTTTTCCAGTGGGTACTGGCCAGCAGGACACAGGGTACCGGAGATGATCTGGGGTGGCGGGTGGACCTTTTATATGAGTTCTTTAAAGCAGCATGTATTTAAGATGCCGTGGTACAGCACTGTTGTAATCCCAGCACTAGGGAGGCTGAGGCAGGAGGGTCACTGTGCGTTCAGGCCAGCCTGGGCTACATAGTGGGCTACCCTGTCTCAAAGAACAAAACCAAACAATAAAAAGTAGCATGTTTTTAAACATAAGCATAATGCCTAAATATTTGTGTTCAGGATTTTTTTTTCTGACAGAAGACAACAGTTTTACATTTATGCTGATATAAAGTTTCCCTGTAAAATAAAAAGGAATAGAAGGCACTGATAATTCAGAGAAAACGGTGACATAATAATAACACCGGTGTTACCAGAAAAGGTGAAAACCAGGATGACGGCATGCATGTGGCCCCGCTCGGGGAGAAGCACTGGGTTAAGGAATGACCCTGCCCTCTCCTCATTTTGGTTGGTGTGGAAAATCCACCAGCATCGGTCTCTTGGGCTCGGGTCTGCATGCAGTAGTGAACCCTCGAGGTGCATGCACTGGAGATGGCTCAGGGCAAGCCACTCAGTGCAGATGGTTTCTGAGGTCTGGAGATGTGGTGCTTTGATTAAGCGCGAGGCATGGGCGGAGCTCTGATTTGACCATATTAGAGAAGATAGTGCTTTCTAGTGGTCTAGACCTCAGAAATCAGAAGGTGAAACCCTCTTTTGCCTCAGCTCACCAAGAGGGGAGACAGGGTGGGTGGGGAGGGCGGGGAGACACTGAATTCCAGGAGAAGGAAGTGGACCTCCAGGTGTTTTGAAATACTTAAAAGATCTTTTTTTTTTTTTTTTTTTTTTGTCTTTTTGAGGCAGGCTCTCGCTATGCAGTTCAGGCTGGCCTTGAGCTCACTTTGTAGCCCAGGCTGGTCTCGAACTCACAATGATCCTCCTGCCTCAGCCTCCCAAGTGCTGGGATTACAGGCATGAGCCACCACGCCCGAAGAGGATGGCATTTATCTCTGTGCCCGAAGAGGATGGCATTTATCTCTGTGTCTTCGGGGCGTGTAAACAGGAGGCCACAGGATAGGAAGTCAGACCATAGACTAACTGAAGGAAACACTTTTAGTTAATGAAGGAAGGAATGAACTGCCTTGAGAGGCCAGGCTCCCTGTTGCCAGAGTAGTGTTTATTTCAGCAGGGGGCATCTAGGGACACACAGCTGGGTCTCTGTGGGAGGTATCTGACTTGAAGTCCTCTGTCCTCCCCAGGGTCCAGAGTCCAGGGCCAGACCTTCCTGCCTTTTAGCAGCTCCTCCAATGGTATCTTCGTATTACTGTTTTGGTTTTACCTATCTCCCTACCCTTTGGGAATTTCCCCTCCCTCCACAAACACACTGCACTCCTAAACACACCCACCACACTTTTTGGTACTAAAGGGAACTGTCTGTCCACCACAGTGCACTTTAAAATGAGGCTACTGGGTACTTAATAGTTTGGAGTTTGCGTTTAACCAGGCGTTGTAAAGAACCAGTGGGCCTGTCCGTCAGTCTGGGAAACCTCAACTTCCATCATTTCACATCTGGAGAGCTCCTAAGAGCTTACACTTGGGGAACATAACATAGAATTATTACTCTGAACCTCGCGAAATGGTCACTCTTACAGGTAAAAACCTACACTGGCCACTTCCTGTTGTACTCTATTTAAAAAACAGGGCCCCATGATGAAAAATGGGGCAAGACCCCAAGATGACAAACGGAGCAAGACGTCTTTTTTAAAAGAAGCGCTTTTATTTAGCTGGCCCAGCGACACAGTGCAGATGGAATTTGCAAAGCTGTGCAACTGCGTTAGAGTTTTGACTGATTTTTATAGTTCATTTATGATTAGCTCATTGATCATTAAGTACATAGTGATGAGAAACAGAAATAAGGTGGGCCTTTGTTGCCCTTTGCTTGAGGTCAGAGGCATTTCCCAGTGGGTGGTTAGCCAATTCATAGCCCTTGGTCTGCCAATTCCAGGAACATTTGTCTCTAGTGAAGGGAACAATGGTTGACATAGCATCATTTGTCTCTTACAAGGGGAACAAAAGTTGACATAGCACACAGGTCACTAAGGTAGGGGGGGATGACGCATTACAGAACAGCAGAACGAAGCGGTCAGTTAATTTATAACTATGTGGTTGGTGCTTGGTTACTAGGGTAATGAGCTCAGTACAGAATGACAATATTACTAATAACTATCTTTTTAAGTAACTATTTTTGTTAATTATCTTTTAATCAATTTTTTTAATTTTTAGCACCTTAGTATAACACTTTCTATGGTCCAAACCACATAACAGCAAGACACTTAGAAACAGTCTGAAGATGACAAGACTCAGCACTTTCTACCAGGCTCCGGGCTTCCCTGACTGTACTGATCAAGGCCCATCGCCATCTCAGGCCACCAAGATACTGCACAGCAGGATTTCTTCTGACAGGGCGCTGCTGTCCTCGGCTATCAGGCAGGGGTTATTTTCCATCTGCAAAGACGCTATGCCCTTTAATGTGCTAATTATGAAGGCATCACTGTTATTCTTAGAAGGCCTTGCCTAGTGGTGACATACAACAAGATAAAGTGGGCACGCAGGGGCTGAAACCCGAGGGGAGCCCGCCTGGGTGTGGCGCTGGGCCCTGGGAAGGGGAGTTATTCCTGAAATGAGAATTTGAGATAGTACAATCCCAGCTTCATTTCCTGCTCGCATGAAAAACTGAAGCTTCCTCTAACTGCAGGCTGAGGAGTTCCACATGGTTAGTGCCCGGGGGTGATGTCCTGGGGCAGCACCTAAGTGCAAGGATAAAAGGAGCACTGTGGCAGCGCTGGACCTCAGCAGGTCACCGTGGAGATCCTGAAACTCCTTTCCAGCTTCCTGCCACACACCAGTCTCACGCCTGTGGTAAAATGGGATTGCTCCTGCTTACCTCTCCCTGGCTATTGGTGCGGGTCCCCTTCCAAGCAGCACATCCCTAGGTGATTTCATTGTCCCACGAACATCATGGAGTGCACCCTCCCACACCTAGGTGCTCCCACCCCTGCATGCCCAGACTCCATGGCGAACCTCCCTCTGCCACACGTGTGCCATGGGTTTGCCACCACTGCCTGCAGCTCCTGGGAGGCCAGGCAGCAGGGAGCCTGACTGCGCTGTCCTGCAGGGACCTGGAATGCGATGCTAAGCACTTGTGTCTGCACTCAGGAGAGGCACAGTAAAGAGTCTAGGTGACGGGAATTTTGAAAATTCCATTACAGTCTTTCAGGACCATGTCGTGAGGGAGGTTCCACAGTGGCCCGAGCACTGTGTTAAGACTGCAAGGGATCAGGTATCCCAGGAATCAAAGAAAAACGTAAGGGGGGCCTGGGGATACAGCTCAGCACCACAGCACCTGCCTGGCAAACTCCTGGTTGTGAGTTTGATTCCTGGTACATATAAACGAACAAACAAATAAATAAAAAGATAAACGGTGGGGGACAGGGGCAGGTGGATGACCCTTGGGTAAAGTTAGGAATTTGAAATTTCCGGGAGAAAACGGAAGGACCGTAAGAGGATTCCCTTGTCCGATTTGTTAAAAATCAATAAAATGTAAAACCTCCATTTGTGCATTCCCATTCAAAGGCACTAAAAATCACAGAAGTTGCTCAATCCATTTGAGAGTTGAAAACAGGCCCAGGGTTGAAGCTACTTGCCCAGGACCTGTGGGAGGTATAAAGAGAAAAAAACATCAAAGGCCTTTATCAAATCCTTTTCAGACTAAGAGCCATCCACGTTTGTGTGCAGCCGTCCAAGAAAGGAGGCTTCTAACTGCATCATCCCGAGATTAAACGCTGTCCTGTCCCGTCTGATCTACGGGGTCCTCCAGTGACAGCTGTGCCCACACAGCCCAGGCAGGCTCGGGCTAGACTCCACCTAAGTTGCTTCCCCAGCACCAGCTGGGCCAGCTCAGCCAGGGAAGGCCCCCTGTCCTGAGACTTTGGCACTGCAGTAACCAACGTCCCTTCACCACTTCCACCCGCTGCCTCACAGCTCTGCCCCCCAGAGGCTGCCCACGTGCCAGGGCAGAGCTGGTGCAGGTTCTCAGAAACGGACCTATTTGTCTTCTCAGATTACAGCGAACTGGGAAGGAGGTAACAGGGTGTGTTCCGCCCAGCCCCAGGCCCCTTCTGCTCCTCTCAGGACTGGACAGGGTCAGTCACTAACAGCACCATGTGCACAAGGGTCCAGCCAGGCAGGCCAGGTACACCATTCCCTCTTTGTAATCTCAGCTTGTTTTTACTACGATGGTGTGAGGTTTTATCAGCACTGTGCTGATATGTAAACCTTCCCTCCCCAACCTCTACACGTAATGGGACTGTCATGTTAACACGTGGATCTGTGATGGCAGCATCAGATGTTTTGGGAAGATAGGGTGAGCTGCAAATTCCCCATACGCCCTGTGGTTGGTCCGCCCCCTCACCGGCTCAGAGACAAAGCCATGTGCCCGTCCTGCTTACAAACACACAACGCACTGAAAACACTGAGACCATTCGCTTTGTTTTCTCTATTTATTACGTTTGGACCTTTAAGAAACATAGACTGTCAGACCACTTTGCAGTACAAATCTACTCTAGTCTTCAGGAGGCACACACATTACAAACTATCTCACGTCTAGTCTCAAGACTTTATTGAGTTTTTATCAAAAAGGTCGGCTCTGACCTAAGGGCCTGAGCCTTGAGGTTTGCGTGTTTTGAGAACTGTAAGACAGTTTCACACGGACGAACCGAGTTCGCAGCTGCTTTTCTTCGGCAGTGGGCTCCTTGTTCTGCAGCTCTTTAGTCCGTTCTGAAAAGCCCCACTCCTCAGGACACCTGTCATCTACTCTCTTTGGAAAACCTGGGTAAAAGAAACACCCTCCCCTCCCCATACAATGGGGATGAAGTTATCAGGTGCATCCAGGATGAAACAGAGCAGGGCACGGGCCACAGTGTGTGCGAGCTGTGTTCCTGGAGCTCCTGCGCCAGGGACAGACCCCGAGTCTGCATCTGGGCCAGTTCCACCTGGGGCATGGCGCGGGAGGGTGACGCCACCAGAGGGAGGGGAACACACACACGGTAGGGGACAGGGAGCCCGGCCTGGCTGGGCTGGGCCAGTTTAAAGCTATGGCTTTGGGCAGCACCGAGTGAGTGGGACAGGCAGGCACCCTGGCCTGGACTCAGGGCCCTCGGCCACCGGCCAGGCGAGAGACCACAGGGCAGCACGTCCTCACAGCGCGGGGACGGGAAGCCTTTGGTGGTGCGAGGTGTGACACGGACAAGACAAAAATTAATACACGGACCACGGAACACCGTTAAAACCGGAAAACTTTGTTTTTTCATTTAAAAAAGCGTTAGGACCCTAACCAAGGTGACATTCATGCCTTCTTCTCATCATCCGGGAGGGGGTCTGTGGGGGGCTCCTCCACGGTGGCGCCGTTGCTCTCCGAGCCGGTGCTGCTGTCGCTGGTCCCCTCCTCCGCCAGGCTGTCCACGCCCTCCTGGCCGCTCTCCTTGTCCTCGGGCGTGGATGTGCCTGCCTCGCCATTTTGCTGGCTCTCTGTGGCCTCTTCCAGGTGCGTCTCCTCTGCAACCACATGCAGGTCACTGTCAGTTCCAAGGGACACACCGACCCTGTGCTCACAGCACACAGCCATGCTGTGGCCCAGGGCAGCCACTGGCCAGCCACGTGACCAAGCGACGCCAGCAGTGACTGTGGAGACTGGGGAACCTTTACACGCACCTGGGAAGGTCCAGGGTATGCAAAGCTACTTCTTGGCTCTAAGTTTCTCAAACTTAAACACAGACCAAACCTTTCCGGGAAAATTTAGCTGCTGAACTGAGATGTGCTACAAGGATACTATACACAAAGGATGTCAAAGACTTGAGAAAACAAAAGACTAGTCATTTAAAAGTGTTGATTAGCTGGCCTTGATGGTGCACACCTGTCACATAGCACTAGGGAGGCTAGGGCAGGAGGACTGCTGTGAGTTTGAGGCCAGCCCAGGCTACAAAGTGAACTCAAGCCCAGCCTGAATTGCATAGACTATAGAGACTATCTCGAAAAGCCAAAAAAAAAAAAAAAAAAAAAAAAAAAAAAAAAAAAAAGCTAACATGGTGAATATTTAGGATATACCACATTAAACAAAATACTAAAACTAATTTCACTTATTCCACCTAACTTAATGTTACTAGCAAAAAAGCTGTAATTATACATATGACTTAGAGTCTATTTCTGTTGAGACCGCTCTCTTGCAGTACTCTGGATTAGCTGAGAAAAAGCAGGTGTGGAAACAACATGGAGTCACAATTCTGGGATCTCTGCTGAAAGTCACGCTGGGTTGCTTCCTATGAGAACCTAAGAGCACCCAGCTTCTCCTGGGGCCCCCCTGGGGCCTTCAGAGCCGGGCACAGAGGCAGAGCAGGGCGGAGGGCACTGCTTGGGCTTTGGAACCACGAAGGCTGGGGCTGCACTTTCAAGTTCTCGCTTCCACCACAGAAAAGGAGTTGGGCCTGCAAACGTGGGGCAGCAGAGCTCATGGAGATGGGCAGGCTCCGGCGACGGCACTCAGCACCGAGGGTCTGAACCTGGGGTGCTGAGTCTCAAGCTGAGGAACCACGGCAGGGCCAGTGTGCCACCCATGGCTGTCACTGACCATCACCCTTGGCCTCAGTCCTTCGCACATGGAATGCCCGCCACCCACCTTGGAGGGCACATCTGGGACAGGGCGGGCGGCCTTCAGGGCCCTTAGCCAGCCCACTGGGCTGTGCTGCTGTGGCCTGCAGGCAGCCACGTCTGCTGTGGTAAGGACAGTGCACCAGGCCAAGCTGGCGGCTCTGCTGCCAGAGCCATCTGGGAGTCACGCTGTCCCCACCAGGCCTGCTGGGGAGGGCACCTGCAGCAGGTAAGCCCTGAGCGGGGCCAGCCAGGGAGTGGAGCCTGCCTGAGCTCCACTCTTACGCCCCGAAGAGTAACACAGAACAGGGAATGCTAACACCGTGGTGTTTGGCACCAGTGCCCAGAGGGAGGGGGGTGAGGCTCCCATAGAGGAGCCCAGCTCAGCAACAGCCTCACTCCAGGGGCTGGACGGGCACCAAGAGGGCGGCCCGAGGCCCCACCTACCCGTCTCCATCGGGACGCCCTCCTCATCCTTCTTCTCTTCAGCTTTGCTGGCTGCCTGCTCCTCCTCGGGGGCTAGGCTGCCCTGGCCTCGCTCTGCCTGCTCGGCCACCTCCTTCTCCCGCTCCTCCTGCCGCTTGCGGGCCTGCTCCTCCGCCTGGGCGATCTCTGCGGCGATCTTCTCCATGTCCACCTCCACCTTCAGCCCGCACAGCTGAGGGTGGGAAACAAAGGAGACGCTGACCTCAGCCACGCTCTCGCCTGAGCGCTCCAGACCAGAGGGGCGCTCCCAGGTAGGTCTTCTCACCCACAGCACGTGCGTGTGCGCGCATACACACACACAGAAGGGGGGTGGAGGTGGGGTGGTGGTAGTGGTGTGGGCAGGACCAGGAAGTGGCCCCGGGAACTGGGACATGACAGTGAGGTCACAGGGTGGGTGGTGAGGCAGTGCCAGGAGCCAGCACTGAACACATAGCTTCTGAGCTGTATTTCTGGTACCACACGCCAGGTGTCACACATGGTGCCAGCCGAATTCAAACAGTCTGATGAGTGAACTCTAGTAAAGAAAAAATAACTAATGGCCATACAGGAGTTTAAAAAGTTTGAGTTCTCTAGCACATATGGGCCTGGCCATGTATACATGGTATTACATTTAAAACTTATTTGTAATTTTTCCAAAAACTGGGAATACTTTAATAAAGTGGAAGTGTTACAGGTTGGACAGTGGACCTGACTCTGCTTCAAAGTGAGCAGGAGAAATAAAAACGCTGCTCAGGAGAAAGGACATGGATAGTGCAGGTAACAGGCCTGGGGTGGGGTGCAGGTCGGTACCCGTTTCAGCTCGTTGTTGAACGAGTCCGTGCTCTCCAGAAACTTCCTCTTCTTTTCCTGGTGTCGCTCCTCTATTTGGAGGAGCTCGGCCTCCAGCTTCCGCTGTAAGACACATGGTCAGATCTCAGCACCACTCAGCTGCCCTGCAGCCAGCGTCAGACAGCACAGCAGCCTTAATCCACACCGGCAAGTGCGCTTTTAACTGAGATCACGCGCTCCTAGCGCAGCCACAATCTCAAAAACGCAGCTCGGGACACACACGGGTAGCTGTGCCTGACAAGAGTGCTGTTCTGGGTGGCTCTGCAGGGAAAGGGGCTTAGTGGAACAGCTGAGGGGCACTTGGTCCTGACGCACCCTCAGTGACAAGGCTGTCGCCACTGCTCACAACAAACATACTAAGATACCCCACAGCGCCTCCCCGGCCTCCCAGGCATGCTTTCCCGCCATCAGTGCTGGATGCCCTACCTGGTGGACCATGAGGGACTGGACCTGGCGCTTGAGGACCTGCATTCTTGCTGTGGTGACAACGGAGCGGACGTCAGGCACCACGCTCTCACTGAGAATTTCGCTGATGAGGCGGTGGTTTCTCTGGAATCGGGCGGTGGCCGTGTGCTTCATGGAAAAGCCATCGTCGTAATCTGGAATGGATGAGATGAGCGGCATGGCGGCACCGCAAGCAGGCATGCCCAATGACAGCGAGAAATCAATGGGCATGGTGGCTCCTAGTGGAGCCAGCCAAGGGCAGGATGCACTCCTGGGGGTTGACTTTAGAATTGGGGGTGGGGGTGTGACTGTGATTCTGAGAACGCCACGTGCCCGGCAGAGGCCTGAAGTGCTCAGCAACCCTGAATGGCATGACATGTGTGCTGGGGCAGCGTTTGAGATGTGTGATCTTCCTGTTTGCAAAATTGATGCCCTCCGGCAGGACTCAGGTCCCCAGGCAGCACCGACATTTCACTAGATTAAAGTGCCAGGAAGACTGGGAGTAATTTTACAGGAAGGAGGAATCTGGGATTCCCACATACTCCCTGTTTTTGTCCTCTCACACAGTCGGGAGCAGTGCACGTGAGTGTCTGCACCAGGGTTTGCAACCTTGCCCTCTGCTCCACCACTGCCCTCGGTTTCCCCACGTGCTTTGCGTACTTGGTAACGACGTGTTGCCGCCTTCTTACTGTCCCCAGGTGACTGCACTCTCAAATGGGGGTCTCTTAAGGATCCTCAGGAAAAGGGGGTGCGTCTGAGCCCTGCTCTGCAGAGCCCCGGCCTGGAGGAAGCTCAGGACCCAAAGTCACCCTGATGCTGGCACCTGGCTGCCCCTTTGTAACCAGCTGACAGAAGGGCCTCTCTTAACAACACCCCAGGTACAGTCCGAGCCCGTTTCTTAGTCAGTCTCTTCATTCCTTTACAATTTCACACTTTTTAAAAATTATTTTGGTAGTTTTAGGGATTGAACCAAAGGTCTTCACACTGATCTATACCGTTTTTTTTTTTAAAAAAAATTTAAGGCAAGGCCTTGCTAAGATACTGAATCGCCTAGGCTGGTCTTGACCTTGGGGTCCTCCTGTTTCAGCCTCCAGAGTGCTGGGATTAACAGTATTATCCTCACGCCTGGAAAGCTCCCGGCTAACAGTGGCCATGGCACGGGCCTGTGCTGCAGGACTGCATCCTCCTTCCAGTCTGTGCACCTCTCCCATCCCGGTTACCACAGAGGAGCCTGCGCCTGCACACGCAGAGACTGCAGTGCTGCTGGCCCTGCTGCTCCCTATGCTTCTCCTCCTGAACTCCTCGCTGCGCTGGTCCGTCCCGTCCCACTGTTAACCAGAGCACTCTTCTGCATCTCGGCCACTCCTACAGCATGTTCACTTTTCCCTCTTCTAACCCACAATTTATTCACATCTTTAAGGACGGGCTCCTCCTTCAGAGCCACCCCGAACATCTCCTGTGTCCCTTCCAAGCCCCGCTCAGCCCCCACCTTTCCCGCACCACAGCAGTGCAGAGAACAGGCTGGCAGTGTGGCTGCTCCTCCTTGGTGTGGCTGCTGGGGACTCCCGGCTCACTGTGAGGATCCGCGCTCCTGCACTCTGGGAGCCGGGGTATATGTTCCCAGAGGGCCCGAGAATGAAATGACGTCTGCTAAACCAGTTTTCACCACTTTCTTGAATGAAAACAATGTCTTTCTCTCATGGGAAAGTCACATACAAATCTCACGATGCTCAAATGCACTGGCCTGTGCTTTTCTACTTATGAAACAGCCAAAGTGTAGCCTTGTGCTCTTAGGGGAGGAGGGAAAAGAGAGGGGGAGGAGGGAGAAGAGGAGGGAGGAGGAAGCAGGAGGAGGGGGAGGAAGGAGGAAGGAGGTGGAGGCGCCCCGCTCACCGTCGGGATCCTCTGCGGGCTGGATGCTCATGTAGGGCTCGCCCTTCTCCATGCGCGACTGCCTCTGCCGGCTCTCCTCCTCCAGCGCCGCCTCAGCGCGGCTCTTGGCGTTGATGTAGGCCAGATATGCGGGGGAGTTGTGATAGGCCTTCATAGATTCATTGTACTCTATCTGAAACCCAAGGTTGGCGGCAGGCGTCAGCACTGCGCCCCGCCTCGACTGTCCCGGGACTGGGACCCTGTGTACATAGCAGTGGCAGTGCGGCCTTGGCTTTCGGAGGGGGTCTCAGGTTTCCTGATAACGTTCACGCAGAGGCCCTTCCCACTTGACTCCTGCCACCCCGTGGCCCCACCCTACCTTTTCTGCCTCGTATTCGTTTAAATACTCTTGTTTCTCTTCATCAGTGAGATCTCGCCACATGCCACCAATGATCTTGCCGATCTCCCACAACTTCAGGTCAGGGTTGGAAGCCTTTACTTGGTCCCAGACCTTCAAAGGAAACAGGTGAAACTTCAGTACCGCTGCTCAGCATGTGGACATTCACAGATACTTAACAGAAATTTCTAGATGTAGCAGCAGGGGGACATCGGATTTCTCCTCGGCTGGCTTCAAGGTGAGCAGGAGCTAGCTGACCCCATTCTGCCTCCATGTGCCTGGACTGTTTGCTTGAGACCGGACCTCTCTATGTTGTCCAGGCTGGCCCTGAACACTCAGGCTGACGTTACCCTCCTGCCTCGGCCTCCCCAGCGCTGGGACTATATGCACACTCTTGAAACAAGGTCAGCAGACAGGCTACAGTTGGTAAGTTCAAGGGGTTTGGGAAAACACTTGACAGCGTAACATAATTCTCCATCGTACTGCCAAATACACAAGCAACGTGAGGACCGACATTTAACAACTTTTAAAACAGTGGTTAAAGGCCTCTTCCTTTTAATAAAGACATTGGCTATGTGTTTTGTGTATCATAGATTCATTGCCAAACAGATCTGGAAAATTCCAGGAGCAGTTAGGAGGTGGGAGCTACCACACAGCTACTGTTTCCAGGCTGTCCCCAACCCGCAGGGCGCAGCACCCCTTAGTGCCCCGGAGCCTCCCCTCTCCCTTTGCTGGGGCCGTGTGCCTCCCGCACCGGAGCGCTGCCGTCTGCAGGGTCCCGGCCCTCACCGGCGCCTACCTTTCTGCTGTACCTCATGTAGGGCATCAGCGGCTTATCTGGTGGCTTGGGGGGCTTTGGAATCGTAATACCAGAGGATGCCTACGAGAGAGTGAAACAAGTTCGTTACTCCACTGCAAGCTCTCCGGCAGCAGCCTCAAAGAGTCCCTTAAAACATCCTATCGCGTCTTTCTTCTACGCGTCCTCGAGACCAAGACTCTTATATTTCCTCCATGGAAAACAGCTAGCACTGTGAATTCAGAAACGTTCACACCACAGGAAAGCGACTCTCAGCACGCGGCTTTGGGGTCTGTGGGGCGGTTTACCACCTCTGCTCTGACACCTGGCTGCAAGGACAGACGCAGAGTCACGGAAGCACCGCGCCCGGGCCAGGGACAGGGCATCAGCTGCGCTCCACATACAGTCAACCCTTGATTATGTGCAGCGCGACCCCACCACCCTCGCACACTCACACGCCCACGCTGGGGAGCGCACTCCACGGCACTCTCAGTAGTGACCTGCCCCAGGCTCTGCCTGTCACGTAGCCCCTGGGACACAGCTGCAGGCAGGGCTCGGTGAGCCCGTCACACAGCTTTGGCTTTGAAAAAGACAAAAAAGGAAAGACGGGATGCACTGGAAAGAGACAGGAAACAGGAGGAGACCCTAAAACACCTCTTAAAAAGGTGAGGAGAAAGTGGGTAAGAGAAAATAAGGAAGGGACCACGACGGGGGAAGAATCAGTCCCTTGGCTCCAGGTAGGGGACAAGGGACAGGGGACATGAGACAGTGTCTGCCTTCTGGGCCCTTCCAGTCCCTGGCTGCCTCGAGCTCTGTGCCTTCCACACTCCAGGAGGGACCCGTGGCAAGAAAATCAAAAGACAAGGCACCAGGTCCCCTCGAAAGAGGACGGAGGTGACTGCCCCCTTCCCTCTGCAGCTACTGTGGCCAGGTCCAGGTTCCTCACGTCACTCTCCTAGGCTGGGACTCGGGGACCAGCGTGCACTCCCCTTCCACTGCAGTCTACAAACACTGGGAAACACCTCTACTCCTCCCCAGAGTCCTGGTGGCCATACGGGAACAGCATCCTCTCCCCACTCCTAGCCTGTGGCGGGCGAAGGGAGCCTGCACCAGGTCCCGGTCTCCTAGGAAAGGGCAAGTCCAACAGGGCCAGTGGATGCCATCGAATCACAGCAGGAGGTCACCAACGTTTGAGAGAAGTGCTGGGAAAGCAGACTCCATGCAGGCCCTGTACTGACCTCCATGATGCCACAGCGTGGGCCCCAGCTACAGGTGGCTGACCACTGTGAACTAGGTTTTAAAAAAACTAAGAGGTAAAGAATTCTAAAATGTTTATGTGCTTAAGTTTTAGGTACAAATTTAAACACTTTAAAAGCAGAATACAGCCCTATTTCCCCCAAAATCACACTTTATAGTGGGGCACAGTGGCACACCTGTCATCCCAGCACTCAGGAGGCTGAGGCAGGAAGATTGCAAGGTTTTCAAGGCCAGTCTGAATCACAGGGTGAGACTGTGTCCAAAAAAAAAAAAAAAAAAGAATCACATTTTATAGCATTAATGTGCTTATTTCCCCTTTTTTCTCCAAAAGAAGGGACACAAATCACTACATACTGAGGTCACAGTTTCATGACTGACCAGTAATTTACAACCGCAAAAACTAAAGGCAATGCCCCCCACCCCACATCCAGAACAATAAGCCAGACGATGCTGGGGGTGTCACTGAGTTATAGCTCAGACAGGTGTCTGCAGCATCCCCACCCTTGACAGGAGCATGAGGGTGCCTAGCAGGCGAACTTCCCACACAGCCCCTGACCCTGAGAAGCTGTGGCCAGGTCTGCTCCAGGAGGGGCTGAGTTTCCCTCCCAAGCCACTTTCTCTGTAGGAGCAAGACCTGAACTCAGGACCTCGTGCTTGCAGGCAGGTGCTGAGCCACTGAGCCGAATCTCCAGCCCTAAAGCTGCTTTCTCTGCTGTGATCAGAAGTCCAGTTTTACCCTCCACTCCTCCTCATCTTGATTTTCTGCACCCAATTTGCAGCAAGTCGGGGAGAAAACCAATCACTGCACCTGTCTACAATGAGCCCTCTGAGTGAGGCTGTGGAGTTGGACAGGGCCTGCCCTGGGCTGTGCCTTCTCGGCTCCCTACCTCTTTGCTCTGTGAGGTCTCACTCAAGGGTTTTCCCAAGAGAGACTTTTCATTGAGGTAGGCAAACAGGCTGATCCCTTAGGACACCTGTACTTAGGGGCACCGTATTCATCAAGTGAAGAACTGACGGAGAAGGAACTGCAACATGCGGCTGTCACACTTGGTCCCTAGACTGTCACCTGGCTGCAACATAAAATGTTTATTTTTCTGAAAACCATCCAAGCTCCTGCTCAGGCTTCCTCAGACAGCACCGCCAGCAGGACTACACTGGCCCCACATAATGCGTAACAGGGCTCATCTTACAGTGAGACTGAGACTCAGAACCTGGAACCCCAACAGCTCAGAGGTTTACAGTGGCTCTGACGACACGTCAAGCCGAGCTCAGGGGACAGTAAGAGAGAGAAAACCACTGCAAAGAACCCAAACACAGAACACCCTGGGGCCAGTCTCCCCTAGACTGCCCTGCTCACTGCACTTGGTGTGCTCCAGATAGGGTGGAAAGGGGAAAGGGAGGAGGAGCCCACCACAGCAGCAGGAAACCCCACGAAGAGGAAAACGCTCATACTCACACGCATACACCCCGAAGCCAAGTTATCCAGGAGCGCAGTTTCCATTCCCAGCCCCTCAACACAGATAATCAAGAGCTGACTGTATAGAGCTATGCGATTAAGCAGCTCATGGACTGCCCGTGAGAAGTGAAGGCATTAACTGGGTGACCCGAAAGTGGTTCTGCTCAGTTTGAGCTGAGGCGCTTTTTATTGCTGGGTAACCTGCCCCCCACACTTGTGAAGCAACACACTTAGGCCGGGGAAACACGTACTGATGCACATAAACCCGTATGCATTCTGAAATGCATACACCACCACGCTGTGGCAGGTTTCCCCAGATACCATGAAATATGCATGGCACAGAAAACTCGGTATGCTCATGAGGTACGAATTATGCAGAACGATGAAAACTTTAGACAAACAGAACCTATCAAGTTAAGCAGTGTGCTTACCAAGATAGACACAATTTGATAGCTACGAGCTTTAGCTGTGTGTGCTGACTACAGGGTGAGAGGGTTTTCCCAAGTTGCGTTAATCGAAGGCACTTATTTATTATTTATAAACACAGCACACAAAAACCAGGTGTTAAAAAGTCTACAGCCATTCTGGGTTGTATATATTTTCACCAAACCACATTCTAGTGCAGCTAGGCATTTGACTTTTGGATTTATTTTCATTTGTTACCTCAATTTCCTTGGAGTTTAGGATAATTCTAAAATAAAAACTTTAAAGTATACCATCCAATTTTGATTATGAAACATCTGGCAGTACGGACTAGAAATGTTTTTCTGGTTGTACATATCTAGTCTGACGCTTCAAATTAATTTTATCCATTTTTATACTATAATTCTTTGTAGCGACATTTTCATTTTCAACTGGGGAGAAGTAAGACTTGGTTAGAAGGTCAACTATTAAATCCAAAAGACAAATAACTGTGTGGCATAATTCAGATTGGCCGGCCAGCCCAACTCTTCCTAGTCCTGAAAAGGCCAGCTCTGAAAGCCAAGCCTTTCCTTGTGCCTCATGGCAGTCCCCTTAGAAACAGGAAAGATGCTCTTCACTTCGGAAATGATATTTAAACCGTCAGAAACTCTCAGCTTGTGCACTACCCACAGGAAAAGCAGTAGGTGCCCAAGGCTTCATCCCTTCTAACCACCAAGCAGAATAGAGTTTTTCTTCTGTATACATAGCCAAATCTTTTTTTCCAGTCTAAGACAGTACAATGGATGTTTAAATGCTTGAAAAGCCAGACTTAGGTTTTTCCAATGGCTGTGCTTATGATTCGAAAGGCCCTAACTCTGGAGGCATCTCCGGTTCATCCCAGTGGTTTGCTGGAGGTGTAATAGTTGATTCTCCTACCGTGACCCGGCTGTTGGTGCCGGGGTTCCCTCCCAGCCTGTAGTTGTTGTAGGCGAGATGACTGTATGGATTGTATCCCACAAACCCTGGTGTGCTGGGCATTTGCTGATGGAAACAAATGAGACAAAAACACGAATGAGAAATGAGCTCAAACGAGGAGAACACAGAAATGAAAATGATCTGCATATGGCATGCAAAAGCAACCTGAATTTCAACAAGCAATGATGTGTTGTAATAGGTTTTTTTTTCTTCATTGAGGAAACTACATTTTTTCTTTTGTTGAGAAATCAGTCTATAAGTGGTTTTTTTTCCCTCCTCCTTTTCGCAGGGGCTGGGGAGATCTGTGAATGTGAGTGCGTGTGGCTTGTTTTTTAAGGTTGGCAATACACTGAAGTATTCTGGGGTAGTCTATGGTCAGTAGTAGGACAGTAACTTTGCGATATATGACGTCTGAGGTCAGAAAGCTTCCAGTGTAATATGCTAAAAGTCTGAAAACACTACATGCAAAATGAAACATGACTTATTTGACAGCTATGTGGATGCCACCAATGTAGTCATCAAATAAAAACAAGAAATGAACCTGCTTTTCAAAAGACAGCCCTAAATCGTTTCATACAATGTGACGGATGAGAAAAGACTCAAACCAGGAGGCTAGGAGTCCTCAATAGAAAGAAATGTGTGTTGGAGTCAATGGATGTCACATACATGATTTCAAAACAAAGACTTGGAAGAAATGCGTGGAGTTCCTTCTGGGGCCCTCTCTGGTCTTTTTAACCCAGCCACTCTTATTTTATACACTTTCTTCCCACCTCTTCTTTGATCCACTTTTCACAGGTCACAGAGCAGTTTCTTCATCTAGCCCTGCCAGGACCTGCTTTTCTAGTCGGTAGACTTGAGCGTTCTTTTCCACCTAGCTCCCTCTCACCCTTCCAAAACACGACTGCTCGCTGCAGCAACACGATTCTTGGTTTCTGTGAATTATATGTTGCTATAATCACAAATGGGCTCTTATCTAACAGTGGCCTTGTGGATAATGTAAGGACATCCAACGTTCATGAAAATCAGGGCAAAGTGCACAAAAAGAATGTAGCAAAGGGAATTAAAAGTAGAGTAATTTTACCTAATGGAACGCACTGAAAATAATTGACAGTAATTTCATTTACATGCAATTAACAGTCCTGAATTGTATATACATTTAACACATCCCCATTAAGCTGTTACACAATAAATACAATTTCTGAGAACATGCTGCTATATGTATCTATATATCTATGTATCTATATATCTTAAGGTCCAAAAGACATTTCAAGCAGACAGCACTTTTAAGAGAAAAGACAACTGATCAATTTCTAGCCTATACAATAGGAAGACGCAAATTAAGCATATTTAGGTAGGCAAAACACAGATGAGGTATCAAAGGCACACAAGAAATGTATGTTACTTGGAGTGGTACAGCTGGGTGGTGGAGGAGGTGACGATGGCAGTGGTGGCAGAAGTAATGGAACAAAAAAGAAAAAAAAAGGAGGGGAGTAATCCACCCGGCACCTATTCTGGCAGGCATTCTCCTTCCTAGTCTTCTCTGTTCTGTGTTTTAGTGCGAAATTATGATACAGAAATGTGACTAAAAAAGACGAAAAAAAATTCCTTTCTAATATGAGAAGCTGGAAGGGGCTATGTGGTTTCTGAAATGTTTTAATCTCAACCAGGGCAAGTTGGTCCCTGGGAAGACAGTGCGAATCTGCCCAACTGGAGGCAACAATGGGCGCACCACAGGGGCTAAAGAAGTGGAAAAGTTATAACGGTCCCAAATGGGGGACTTGGTTACCGTTTGGAGGTCACTAGGGGAGCCACGCAGATGGAGCTAAAGAAGAAAACAAACCAAGCTGAGGACCTTAAGGTCTACTGGAATGAATTTTAAAGAGTGTATTAAATGAAATTCACCTGAAAACATGTTATACAGTATCTCTAAGGAAAAACAAATTATTGATAAATGAAATTAAAACATGTGTCTGACGGTTAGCAAATAAGTCTAGTTATCTAGTGTCGAAAACAGAAACAAGGACCTACTTAGTAATATGAAGTCGACTAGCCTGAAATTTAGGTGGTAGGGGGTACAGAAGGCAGCCCTAACAGCTATTAAAGTATTGATTTTTGTAGGATATGGTCTGTTTAGCAGCGTTTTTAAAAAATGAACTAAACAAAAAAAAAAAAAATCCCATAAAAACCTTTAAGGAAGTCATTTTGGCAAGGCCTAACTGTTTCTTTCAATCTGATTTGTGGGTTGGGCAATTATTTTCCATGCTGGTCAAGCTGGGTGAAAAAAGCCAATTCACAACTATTACTGAAACACTTTGAAATACATAAAAGTACCTGATGGGCTGGAACAAAATAGCAAGCTCTCACCCACAGATAAGGAAACCCTTACTTGAACAGCTTGAAAATATTTACAATGACTATAATTCTACAACTACAAATTTTATTGTTCAATATAAAATTTACATATATACAAGGTAGGAGTGAAAAATATAACCAGGTGAAGGTTAGGTTTAAAAACAAAATTAAAAAAAAAATGCCAGAATGAGCTTTCACTCGGTATCAACACCAACAGTGAAGATTAACAGAGAAGTGATCAACTTGGCACTTATTTCCCACTGAGAAAAAAGCAGGCAGATACAGGAGGCTGGAACTTCACAGTATGTTGTTTTAAAATGTTGGGGTTGGTTCAAGGTAAGATGCAGTTATTTTATTTAGTAGGAAGTGCTGTTTTTTTTTTTTTTTTTTTTTGCTGTAATTTGTCATCCTGTGGCTGTGATGATTGCGTGACTGTCACTGGAAGACATCTGGGTTTTTGGCTATTACATTAACAAGAAAATTAAAACTTACTGTTGCAGGAGCTGGGGTGGGAGGTGGGGCATAAGATGGTCTTTCTGTTTGAAAGAAAATAAATAACTTCTTGTAAACAACTGAGATATAATACTATGCAACAAAACTACCAATGGTCCTGTTTTGAAGAAAAAAAAAATGAGAGTATTTGGAATTCCCATTTGCTAGGGCATTAGTCTCTTATTAACACAGATTGATAAATAGAAAAATTGAAACTTACTTGACATTTTGGAAGATTAAGTTCTCAGTTCCTTAAGAATGAATCTGAGACACTAAAATAAAAAAAAGGAAAAAAAGGGAAAAAAAAGAGAATCAAAACTCAGCAAGCATAAAAGAATGGTTTCCTAAAGAATAGGGTAGTTTAACTAAATGAGTAAAATTACTTCACTGTTTTCTGCTCATAAATCAAGCCTTTTGCATATTTTAACTAGTTCTTATAGGTCATTTGGTTGATCAGAACTGAATGACTTAACAAATTACTGGGGATATTTAGAGTAATATTAGAAATGTATTTTTAGGCTTTTGCTCATGATCACAGTGCTACATCTTATATGGAAAACATTTTGCAGATGCCATGTAAACATTTACTCAGACTGATAAAAAAATAATGACAATAGAATGTGATGTATTATCAGAGTGACCCCAACAAGGCCTACCAGACACTGACAGCTACTCCCTGGGCAATAGCTCTATCTTGCTTTTGGGATAACAATTTCAGTGCTTTATTTTATTAAACACAGCAAAACATAACTGGTTTTGACAATGAACCTCACCTTCTATTAGAACCGGTAAACGGCTTCGGAAGTGCTGGGAATACATTTTGAGGCTATCTGGAGAACTCTTATCCTTCCTTTTCCAGCTCATTTCAAAGTTCCTCCGCGTCACTTTTGTGATAAATTACCTGGGCAGCTTACTGATCCCTTATTACCTGTATTCCTATTTAGTTTGCAAAGATCTACAGTAGTCTTTCTTGGAATTTGTAAATGTCAGGGAACCGGCATTTATTACCATGTTCCCGACACTGGTGAGCTGAGTTAATAAATCTGGTCCTAGTAGCACCAGCTGGCAGCATGGTACACATGAGAACCAGCTCCTTAAATTCATACTCATCACCAAAGCTAAGGTGGCAAGAGACAAAAATTCCTTACTTTTTAGAAAGAAGGCAAACACACTTCTGCAATCCCTTAAGTATTTTAACCCAACGTTTATGTCAACAAACATGCTCTTCTGCTTCTGCTTTGCATTCTAAGGAGCATCCCAGAGCCAGGAATAATAAAAACACTAGTGTGGAGTGAGTTTGTTTTCTCCAGGGAGCTGTCGACATCCGGTAGGCCTTGCTAGGGGCGGGAGTCCAGATGAAAACAGCTCGGAGCTCCCGGGACAGCGCACTTGATGGGTCGTCGTTTCCCGCGCCTGCTCTCCCGGGCTGCCCGATCGTCCACTGCGGACCCGTCCCCGGTGCCCAGCTCGAGAGCTCCGGACGCGTCCAGTGCAGACTTAGTTACCTGGGACCGGATGCCGCCGCGCTCAGGGCACGATCTGGCTCAGCCCGACCCCGCCACCTGTCACCCACCGACACCTACGCTGCGGCCCCACTTTAGAGACGATAAACCGGGTGTTGGGAAGCCGCGGGGCTCGGCTGCAGGCCGCCCGGCCCGGAAGTGCCCCGCGCTGGGGTCGCCCACCCGGGCCGCCACTCGTGGGTGCCTCGAATCCGCGCTCCAAGCCCCGCCGGGTCCCCAGGGCGCTCTCCGGGCCTAGTTGTGGGGGCACAGCTCCCCTTCCCCGGGCCTCCCGAGCTGGCGGCCCGCGCGGGGTGCGGGGTTCGGGATGCGCGGGGTCCCGGTCCACCCCAGGCTCCAGGCCGCAGCGCGCAGGCCCGGGCGGCGCCGGGGCCTTAGGAGGCCGCGCACCCCGCAGCCCGCGTCCCGCAGGCCGCTCCTCTTTCCAGCCGGCAGTGGTCCCGCCGTCACTCACCCGCGGGCCGCCGCGGCCGCCGCTCCGGGTCCGCGTCCTTTGTCCCGCGCTCGCCCCGCCCCTCGCGTCAGGTTCGCGTCCGCACTTTCCACGCGCGGCGACGCGGCGGCCCGGGCCGCGGACAGCGGGCAGGCGGCGGGGGCGCGGGCCGCTGGGCTCGCGGGCGCCTTGGCCTTTTTTCGTAAGGCCCCGCGGCTCCCTCTGACGGCCCCCGCGCGAGGCGCTGCTCCCTGCGCCGCAGATTCGTCACGGCGGAGGGCGGGGGCGCGAGACGCTTCCGGTCCTGGCGTCGCTCCCGGGGCCTCGTCCCCTCCCGCGCGCTTGTGCTGGGACCCAGTCGGCGGTGGAGCCACCGCCTCCGCCCTCCCTGACACCGCGCTCCGTGCCCCGCCGTGGGTCACCCCGTCCCAGCCCGCGCGGCGTGAAGGCCTTGGAGGCCCGACGGGCGCCCATTGCGCATGCTCCGAAGATATGGCCGACGCCGATCGGGGCCGAGGCCGAGGCCGATACCTACCGAACTGTTCCGAGGTCCTCCGAGCTCCTCCGCCGCGCTCGTGCCGCCGGGCCTGGGCGTCCCTGGAAGTCCGCGATACTAGGGCGAGGCACCTCTTTCTCCAGCTCCAATGTTGGACGCCTGGGAGCAGGGACGGCACGTCGAAGGGAGAGACTGCGGAGAGTTCGTGCAGCCTGCGGACGGGCCGAGCCAGGCTGGGAGTCGTGGGCGTGAAATTGGTTTGTTTAGAATAAAAGCGCCAGAAAGGTGAACCTGGAAGCCTCGGCAGGGGTCCAAAGCTGTTGCTTTTTTTTTTTTTTTTTTTTGGTCTTGTTGGGACAAGGACTCCCTATGCAGCCTTGAGCTCACTTGGTAGCCCAGGCTGGCCTCGAACTCTCAACGATCTTCCAGCCTCAGCCTCCCAAGTGCTGGGATGACAGGTGTGCATCACCACGCCCTGCCTTATAGCTTCTTGTTCCAGCTCTGTACAGCAAGCCCAGCCTGGTTTCTTCCAGGCAGGTTCTGGAGGACAGGAAGGAAGCACGCTGTGGGAAGCAGGTGGCACAAAAGTGGGTAAAAGGGAAAGAAGGGGATCTAATTGCAGCGATGACGCTGCCTGATCCGCTTTCTCAGTGCGTGTGGAGGCACAGGATGTGGAACCCAGGTCCTTGAGCATGCTGAGTGTGTTGGCATGCTGAGTGTCTCCCGAAGGTCCCCGTAAGTAACAGATCTCTCGGACTTACTTAAAACCACAACCTGCTCTCCACACTCCACTACCTGGTCACGGCTGGTGCTTTATTTCTTTTGCTTCTGGTCAGGATGAAAGCTCTCCGAAAGTGGAGACTTGATTGTTTGTTTGCTTGTTTGTTTTTTGGGAACAGGATCTCTGCAGTTAAGGCTGGCCTTGAACTCACTTTGTAGCCCAGGCTGGCCTCGAACTTGCAGCAATCCTCCTGCCTCAGCCTCCAGAAAGCTGGGATTGATATCTTGCACAGCGCCTCCTCTCTTGCAGGGGTTTGTTATTTGTGAAATAAAGGAACAAATGACTATCTCATTTTCCTCCTTTGGTTCTTCCTCTGCTTCTTAAGATTTGAAGAATTTAAAAAGCAAGAATATAAGCAAAAGATAATAGAAAAAAATAATCTCTTCCATGATCCTGAGGATACTAAAATTGAAGGGTAAAATACCTATGTGGATATGTCCGCTCTGCTTACAGAGTTTATTTCCCACAAAGCAAACACCAGGTGTGGAATTGTAATTTATCCCGGGAAAATGTAGTATGCAGCAATAATCGGTACCGATAAAGGTTCTTGGAAACCCTGGCTGACACAGACCTGGTGGTAAACTTCAGACACAGTTTCAGGCCCTGGAACTTTACCTTTCTTTTTGATACCAACGCCCCAAACAGGTGGCCACTTTCCCTCTCCGACATTGTGGTACTTTCTGTGTCTGGGGTTCTTTTTCTCCCAAGACAGGGAAGCCAGAACAAACCCGTGATCCCTCTGGGATCCCCAGCCCAGGTTCTGTCCATGGTTCTGTTCCAAGCTCTGTACTGCATGAAGAAACTGCTGAGGGAGGCAGAATTAGGGACAGAGAGGACTGTAGCTGGGAAGGAAAAGTAAAAAAGAGAAAACAGAGAGCAAGGGAAGGCCTGCACTCATAGGCCTGGTAACCTGTGAGTAAGCCCTGGAGCGGCGATCGTGAACCTTTCAGGGCCCAGTGTCCACGCTGCAGCCCATACCCACACAGACTTGTGAGGCTGAGGCAGGAGGATCATAGCAAGTTTGAGGCCAGCCTGGGCTACAAAGTGAGCGCAAGTCCAGCCTGACCAGCATGGTGAGACCCTCTCAAAAACAACAACAAAACCCACACTGCAATTGGGGCTGAAGACTCAGGTTCTAGTTTAGGAAAGACCAACTGTTACCAATGCTGGCTGCTATGTGCCTGCCAGCTCTGCTCTAGAAGGTTTACGACTGCTGTAAGCTTAAGCATGATTTTTATATGCTTTTCCATGCAGCGACTTTATCAGATTTGCAGAGAGGCCTGCAATTCAGTGAGGGTGTGGAACCAAACACGGAACCATTGGATTTGCTTGGAATAGGTTCTGTTACATCTTTTTCATCATTTTTGCCTCCTACAGCTAAGAAAGAGGGAAGACAGAGCTCTGCTTGAGTCAAAAAGCCTAATCAAGGACTGGGAATTCAGTGGCACAAGTGCCTGCTTAGCAAGCGTGAGGTCATGAGTTTGATCTTTGGTACCAGAAAAAACAAAAAGCCTAATCATAGGCAAAGTGCAGAAAAAGGAGAGGAGAGTTTGCACAGCTGTTTCTGTGAAAGCAGACAGCTACAATGAATATTCAATTTCCTTTTGGTTTTATGGACAGCTTCTCATTATGCAGTTCAGGCTGGTCTCAAACTCGAAGCAGTCCTCCTGCCTCAGCCTCCCAAGTGCTGGATGACAGCTGTGCACCACCAAACCTAATGTTAATATTGGGCTGGGGATTTAGCTTAGTGGCATAAGCGCCTGCCTTGCAAGCAGGTAGTTGTGAGTTCAATCCCCAGTACCGATAAAAACAAAAACAAAAACCTAATGTTAATATTTGATTTCTGTAAACAGCTGTGAAATGTTGGAGCCAGGTGGATTTTTCAGGACAGAGGGATTCACAATGTTTTATAGATATTGACAAAGTCTCTTGTGTGCTGTAACCCTCCAAATAACTAAAGATTCTGGATGTGGTTTTTTTTTTTTTTTTTTTTTTTTTTTTTTTTTTTTGTCTTTTTCGTTTTTATCGGTACCAGGGATCAAACTCATGACTGCCTGCTTGCAAGGCAGGCGCTTATGCCGCTGAGCTAAATCCCCAGCCCCCTGGATGTGGTTTTGGCACAAGTGTGACGAGGGGTACCTCTGGAGACCCAGGGTGTAGGTCCATCACCCATTAATGATTTCCAGGCTCTGATTGTTTTTTAAGCAAGATGATGGAACCCAGGGCTTCACATACAAGAGGCTAACAAACACCCTGCCTCTGAGTGACAGTCCCCCGTGTGGTTAATAAAAGAACCGCACTGCTTTCTGCTTTTGTGGGTGCGGTTTATCTGGGTACAGCCACATCCATAGATAGCATTGGCTCTAATCGCTTGTGACTGTAAGGGCACAGTCACTGAGCTGCTACAGGGATCTTGCAATGCGAGAACCCTAACATATTTGCTCTCTGGGCTTTTAGGGAAATAATTTGTCTGCCCTGGTCTGAAGCCTGTGAGGGCAGGTTGGAAAGTCTGGCAGTGACTTTTATAGATTCCTTGTTTTAGATTCCTTATTGGCACTGTGCGTGCCCGTGTAGGCTGCAATTTGTAAACACAGAGCCAAATTCTGCCCTTTGACAAACTCTCCCTTGATCTGAGGCATTCCTAATTTGCACACTCTGTATACATACATACTGTTTAAAGTTTAGTTTTGGTCTGTAGGCTATACGTTTTCACTTGAAACTTTCAAACTAATTTGAAACATGTTTTGACTTTTTGTCTTCTTTTTTAAAATATATGTTAAGAAAATAAACAAACTGGGCATGGCTGTACATGCCTGTAATCTCAGCACTCAGGAGGCTGAGACAGAAGGATTTTGGTGAATTTCAGGCCATCCTGGGCTATAGTAAGTTTAAGGCCATGTTAAACATACAGCAAAACCCTATCTCAAAAACAAAACAAAACAAAACACCCCCCCCAAATAAAGCAAACAAATAGGCAAACTGTGAACTTCACTAATGTAAAGAATTCTAAAAAAAGTCAATAAGAAAAATTCTTCCATGCCGTTTTGAACATTTCTGTGTACCAAATCATCCTAAGACATGTTAGCTTAAACTGATAATCATTTATTTTACACTGTAGAAATCATGAGGGCAGAACAGTACAATTTGGGTAACTCTATGGGAAACAGTTTTTTGGGGGAGAGCAGCAGTTGAAAATTTTAAAGTATTGTTTCTTTCTGTTGTGTGTTGAACTATTACTTCATCGGTGCAGTTACAGTTTTCCTTAGAAGTCATTCAACCGCAAGAAAACTAAGAAAACTTTTCATACGAATTCTCCTCTCTGAGTACTATGTGACACTCATGTTATTGCAAACAGCTGTGTGGTAAGAAGGGCGGGAATTATTACTAAGTATCACTTTGGCTCTTGTTTTTCTTTTTGTTGTTTTGTGACAGGGTCTCATTAGGTAGCCCAAGCTGGCGATCTTCCTGCCTCAGCCTCCTGAGTGCTGGGATCATAGGTGTGTGTCACCGCTCCTGGCTTAAACCCTTGAAAATCAAGGCCTGAGAGTGTAGAGTGATTCCTCTCTTGTGTAGTTAATTAGAGATGTAGCCAGGGCTGGCACCTCCCACTGTTAGTGCTTGGAATCACTCCTTGTGGATTTTGCTAGGGAAGTGTGCATTTGAAGTATCTTGGTGAGACCAAAGAATATTAATTTCATGCCTCTGTGATGAAAGGATAGCACTGTTTACTTTGTAGGGCTGTCGTGAGGATCAGGGGTTATGAATCTGTTGAACTCTGTGGCTTCGAGTGGAGAAAGCGCTTTACAAACAGTGGTTGCCGATATACTTTTCCCTGCATCGTGGAATAATGTGATTATTTTGATTATTATTATTATTATATTTTTTGGTTAGAGTAAAACAAAAAAAGAAAGTCAGCCTGGTAAGTCCCCGAATGAGGAACATTCCAGCTGCGAACTTTCACAGGAGTGCTGTGTTTCACTTTGTCGGCTGACAAACAAATCCAAGTTAGGAGCATCCTCTCATAACAAGCTCGCTGGTAAGTCTGGGACTTACTGTACACTTCTTAATTTATCTTTTGTCAAAAAAAGCCTAAAGCCATCATATTTGTACAGTGATTACAGTTTTCTTGCTAGCTGCTTCTTTTTTTGGTGCCAGGAATCGAACTCACAACCTTGCGCTTGCCAGGTAGGCGCTGTGCAGCTGAGCTAAATCCCCAGCCCAAGTTCCTTAGGGTGTGGACAGAGATCGCTTTGAGCCTGGAGAACTAAGTATCAAATTCAAAATACAAGGCAGCCCAGTTCACGGTTCAATTTTTTTTTATTGTACTGGTATCATTTACTTTGGTAAATTCATATTCCGATTTTAAAATGGCTCAAAGGAAATAAAGTTCTTTTTATAAAACGAGTCCTGTGGTTTAAAATGTACATGTTTACACACAATAGCTGCATAGTAGAATTACAATAACAAGCAGTTACATTCATAATGCCCAGTACTACGGTTTGTACACTGCACGGTGACCTTAGGTAGATTGCTTTAGTCACAGTTGCTTAGCAGAGTAACTTTAATACAATAGCAGTTATGAATGCATTTTTAAAGCTCTGGTCACATTTGTAGCATTTAACAAATATTGAACAAGACTTCTCTTTTGTGTTGGGAACTGAACCCAGGACCTCGCACTTGCGAGGCAAGCACTCCACCACCGAGTTCCAGCCCAGCCTCAAAGAAACATTTTTATTTACTTATGGGATGTACTGGGTCAGATGTTACACGAGAATTAGCACTTAACATGCTGCAACATCCCTGATGGAACAAAATCATCTCCTTTTCACTGAACAGAGTAAGCCAGGCTGAGATGAATCGGAAGGAACGGAAAGAAAATGTAAAATGTTCTACTCATGTATTATGTTCAAGATTCACATAATTTTCTTCTGATGAAAACAGACATTTCAGTGCTGTGTATAAATATACATACAGTGTATATATACATACACTCACAGCGTATATACACATATATACATACAGCATATATATATATGCACACTGGCCTAAAGTTCTAATGTAGCTGTAGCCCTTAGGAAATACTTTAGCTGGGGAAAAAAAGTATGAATTGTACCTCTCCATTTTTTTTTCTGCTTGGAAAAAAAATAGCCTATCAGTTTCTAATGTTTTAAGACAGGTATTTATTCTTTTAGGTTTTAAAATAAATACACCTCTGTCAAATAAATGAGTTTCTTTAGAAAACTTTGCAACAGTGCTTCACTTATCCACAAATATGTTTTTATCCATATTTATTACAATTTATTTGAACAATTTAAAGACAAATCCCACAAAGACTCTTAGCTTAGATAACAATAGCATTATCTTAGTTCACGTAAAGGACGATAAGAAGTATTTATAGTAATTCATAGAGCATCTTACCTAGGCCGAGATGTGACTGCATTCAACTTTCTAGGTGTGAATGTTGGGACACTGGGAGGTGGGCAATCATTCTGCTAACTAGGGAAAACACCCTTTCAGTTTGCTTTTTGTGTTTTAACTTTATAACTGGCCTTCAGATTTTTTTTTCTGATTTTTAAAAAAGTTTTTTCAATAGAGTGGCTCTTCTGGAATTCAGATATTGCCTACAAATAACTTTCAGGTGTAGAGTAACAGTTGGATTTATTATCAAAATAACCTTGGACTATATTCTATAGTTTGCTTGTGAAGAAAAGTCTCATTTTTCTAAGCCTCCAAATGATTGTCTCAAAAAGAAAACTTCTAAGTAATGAGGGAGTCTCCCTTAAAATTTTATCATGGCTGGCTTTTTAAAGTAGAACAAACCTTTTAGTTTAGCCAACCAGGAAACCATGGTGGCTCTTCACATTTTAAAATCAGACTTTTCCCTTTCCTTAGAGCCCGGATGGCGAACCTTTTAGAGTTTTCAGTGATTACAAACAGCTCGCTGGGGCACGCGTGCCGGACGCGTGCCGGACGTTCGCCCCTGGTGCCACACAGCTTTCAGCTACTGAGTGAAATCACAGATTTAACCAGACCGGCTCAGTACCGTGTACACAGAGTTTCTGATAAAACATCCAAGGAAAAAGCAGACGATTTGGAGAACAAATAAAATAGAAACCATCCTGAATTTCTGATCTTATTTTTGAGCTCTCCTGCTCCCAAATATATATGCTCCTGAGTTCGGAGAAACCTTATCTCTTAGCTGTCTTTTTCCCCTGAGGTGGATCAACAGTCACATGCCGATCCGAAGCTTTTCCCTGCGCCCTGAAGAGCTGACGTGGTGGACAGGGGCTCAGCACGGCTGGCCCGACGGCCCTGCAGGTGGAGGTCGCCCCGGTGCAGCCTAGTCCCCGGGCGCCGGCCGCTGGATGGACGGGATGCTGCAGGAGCGCCGCATGACCAGCCTGACCTCGATGTCCGGCAGGCTGTCCTGCCCGGCCTGCGCGCAGCCCTCGTCCGCCGCCGCCAGGTGCAGGTCAAACCGCAGAGAAACGGACTTCTTTCTCAGCCGAGGGTTGTCTTTGAAGAAGGAACCCTCCCATTCCTTAATGACCTCGTCCACTTTCTCAGTCCTGGGATGAAAAAGGGGACTCGCTGTCCACAGCAACCAGTGTGCCTGCCGTACCTATGTACCCTACTCCTCATCCGCAGTGAGCAAAAGGAACTGTGTAACTTTCAGGCCGTGAAACATATGACTGACATACAAGGCTTTAAAGCCATCAAGAGATAATTTCTAAGGAGCTCTGTGAAACCTATACAGAATTCTCATGTTAGGATTTTTTTTTTTTTTTTTTTTTTGGTGCTGGGGATCAAACTCACGACCTTGCACTTGCCAGGTAGGTGCTTGTGCCACTGAGCTAAATCCCCAGCCTTTCATGTTTGATTTTTGGAAAACAAAATCCAGTAAATTGATTGATTGCTTGTGTATTTTCATCATATATATATATATATATATATTTTTTTTTTTTTTAAAATACATATATTTATATATTTTTAAATCAACATGAATATATATAATTATATATATATATATTCATGTTGATTTAAAAATCACAGTATAAACTGGGTGTGGTGGTGCACACCTGTCATCCCAGCATTCAGGAGGCTGGGGCAGGGGATCGATGGGAGTTCAAAACCAGCCTGGGTTACAGAGTGAGTTAAAGGCTGGGCTGAACTACATAGCAAGACCCTGTCTCAGAAAACCAAAACCTAAAACAAAACACAGTTGATTAAGGCTGTTTAGAAACAACATTCATTACTGGGTTTATTTGATTGAATTTAATCTCTTCAGCTATATTTACTCTATCTCTGTCTCTCTGTCTCTATGTTTCTCTCAGTTTTTGTTTTTTTATTTCAATACCAGTGATCAAACTTATGACCTTGTGCTTACCAGGCAGGCACTTCCACCACCCAGCTAACCCCCCGGCCTCTGTCTCTGTTTTTTTTTTGGTCTTTTTCCTTTTTACCGGTACCAGGGATTGAACTCATGACTGCCTGCTTGCAAGGCAGGCACTTATGCCGCTGAGCTAAATCCCCAGCCCCCACTGTCTCTGTTTTTGATACAGAGTCTCACTATGTAATCCAGGCTGGTCCTGAACTCTCAGCAATCCTCCTGCCTCAGCCTCCCGAGTGCTGGGCTTGTGGTGGAAGTTATTTTACTTACTGAACGGTGCCATGAGCCTTGGCGCTTTCCTTCGCCATGTTTCCATTTAATGTTGCCTGCTTGGTTACCATCTCCACGTTCTCATCCTCATACTTTTGTGACAGTTTTGTTGAAAAAGAGATTTCATTTATGATGGCTGCGAAAATGTTATTTGTGACAAATTACAATGTGGAAATATCTTCACGATCACCTTATGTGTCAAACTTTTATGCAAATATGACTTGCTTTTGCCACATGGGAGAATTTAATTTCACTGTAGGATGTGACATATGCTGCTTTTATTTTCTTTTACTTTCTTAGACAGGGTCTTGCCATATACTCCAAGCAAGCCTTGAACTCGCTATGTGACCCAGGCTGATCTTGAACTTGTGACGATCCTCCTGCCTTAGCCTCCCCAGGGCTGGGATGACATGCGTGCACCACCACACCCGGCATCACATACCCCTTTTCAAATCAGTGCACTCAACAACTCACCTGAGGGTAAAACAAAACCAACTCTACTTGTGGTAGGCTTTGGCTCCTTTTTCTCACCCTGGATACAACCATAATACCTAAAAATGGAGACAGTTACATCACACAGCAACACTGTGTTAGCAACATTGTATCAGCAAGCAGATGGACTGATGAACAGTGTTGGTGTACCTGTGGCACACGGGCTGCATGTTACCCCCAAATGCTCTAAAGGTTCGCCATCCCTGGATTAGAGTAGTTGTATTTTTCCAATAAATGTCAATAAATGAGCTATTATCTAAATGACACCAGACTTTTATCGGTCAAGTGCCTAGCATCGTGTGCATGAAAGAAAACAGTTACAGCTAACTTTATAGAGGTTAAAGTAACATGCAGAATGATCCCATGGTTTGTAAGTGATGCCTATGCCTACAAATATCACCTACGTAATGCAATGTGTCAGACTAACATTAAGCATCGAAGTCAGGGTAGGCAGAGGCAGGAGGCTTCCCTGCTTGGGGGATTGAGTGACTCAGGGAACATACAACTTCTTAAACTGGCACAAGTGGGTACCTGAGGGCTTGTTGTGTTTTTCTCTTTTTCTTTTTTGGTAGATCTCGAGTAACACAATTAAGAATTCAAATTTGATTGTAGAAGTATTAGAGATCAACTTGTCAACATCTTGAATGATCAGGAGTTAGATAAGATTCACAAGCATTTTTCTTTTTTCTTTTTTCGAGATAGGGTCTCGCTATGTAGTTCAGGTTGGCTTTGAACTCACTATAGAACCCAGGTTGGTGGTGAACTTGGTGGTGATTCTCCTGCCTCAGCCTCCTGAGTGCTGGGATGACAGGTGTGCCATACTATGTGTGGCCACACAGTCCTTTATTTTATTTAACAGTATATAGTCACATATGAATACATCCATGCATAACTACACATAACTATGTATGAAACCATAGCTCTCCATGTATACCTGCATCCGTGGAGCACTTACAGTGTGTCTGCTACTATTTTAAGCAATTTACAAACGTTAGTTCCTTTAATTCTCATAGCAGGTTTTTTTTTTTTTTAGTCTTTTTTCAAGGCAGGGTCTCACTATGCCATTCAGGCAGGCCTTGAGCTCACTTTGTAGCCCAGGCTGGTCTCAAACTCATAAGGATCCTCCTGCCTCAGCCTCCTGAGTGCTGGGATTACAGGCGAGAGCCACTGTGCCTGGTTCTCTCATAGCAGTTCTATGAGGTAGGTAAAGTTAATATTATTATAATTCCCAGTTTACAGACTAGGAAACCAATGAACAGAAAGCTAAGTAATTTGCTGAAGGTCGCTTAGCTAGTAAGTGGTATATTTTAAATTGATTTTATGCTTTTTAAAAATTTAACAAATGATCAAGATTTATCATGAGCTAAGTTGTCTCATCTAGTTTTGTAGAGGACTCTGAATTCTAAACAAGCAAGGATAAAAGTTTCCTTTTAAAAGAATGTAGCCCTGTCATGTTCAAGCTACACAGCTTCAGAAGTGATCATGGATTTTGATATATGAACAATTAAGATTGCCTATGTTAATACCTTTTCCTATTGGAACATCTGGAAATTTTTCTTCTTTCTTTCTCTCTTTTGTTTTTGAGATAGGGTCTCTATATATAGTCCAGGCTGGCCTCACACTTGCAGTGCTCCTCCTGTCTGAGTTCACAGGTGTGCACCACCACCAGCTTGGAAGTCTTCTAAGTCCACCCAGAACTGCGTATAAGGATGGTGAGTGGGCCTTAGAGTGGGATTCTGCTGATTATACATGAATCTTCCAAACTGTCTTTGTGGATAGTCTATGGAAAGCAAAGACTAATCTTGAAAGAGACAAACTGCAGAGAGAAGCTAAGTCCCAGCACTCATGAGGCTGAGGCAGGAAGATCACACAGTGAGTTCCAGGCCCTCCATACATAGTGCTATGGGTGATACATTGTATCAGTTTGAGTTTAGAAGTAGAACTAAGGGACTCAGCCAGGAGAGCCAGGGTTCTTACTTCCTAAACATCCTCATCTATGCAGGGGGAGGGCACTGAGATTTTGTGAGTGCTACACTGGCCCTGGAGGTAGTCTGCATATACTATGAGGGAGGAGAAGAGGCTTGTTCTCCCTGTTTTGCTCTGGCTGCTTTTGCTGGCTGCTGCCTTGAACTATTACTCTGCACCATCCTGCCTCGGAGCCAGCTGATGATGGACTGAAACCTCCACAAACTGTGAGCTAAATAAACTCCCAACAACGAGAGAAAAGTAACCAAGACACATTGTGAGACTCTGTCTCAAAAACAAAATAAGGACAACAGAAAAAAACAAGATGAAAAGCTAAAGAAAATTGTGTTCGAGCTGGTGTGTGGCATTTCAGTGACTCAGTGAGACCCTGTCTCTTAATAACCAGCCTGGCCTTGAACTCAGGGCAATCCTCCTGTCTCAGCCTCCTGAGTGCTACAGTGACAGGTAGGCGCCACCAAGTCCAGCAACTATTTGTCCCTCTTTACCATGGCTGCCCAGTGCATGGGCCTAGGCGAGGACGGGTCCCCACCTCACCTCTGGCCTCTCAGCCCACAGTGCCCATGGGTACCTGATTTCCTCCTGCTCCAGGAGGCGGCGGTACGTGGCGATTTCCTGCTCCAGCCTCATCTTGGTGTTGAGGAGCAGCTCGTGTTCCTGCAACTGCCTCTCGATGCCACGCCGGAGGTCCTGCAGCTCAGTCTCCAGCCCCTCGATCACCGCCTCCAGGTCCTGAAGCTGCATCTGGTGCTGCTGCTCGCTGGCCTGCAGGGAGCTCTCCAGGCCCCTCTCCTGTGGATGGAGTGCGGCCTTAGGGCACCAGAAGCCCAAAGTGGTGTCCTGCTCTCCTAGCCCAGGCTGGCCTCGAACTTGCAGCAACCCTCTTGCCTCAGCCTCCTGAGTGCTGGGATGACAGATGTGCGCCCCCATCCTGGGCCCCCCTCCCTGTCTTGATCAACATCTGGCAGCCACCGTGGCCAGGCCGGGAGACCCCTCTCACCACAGCATGCAGCGACTCGATCTCCACCTGCAGGTGGTACCACTGGCGCCGGGCCTCCTTGAGTTCTGCTCGAGCTGCCTTCAAAGCCTCTTCGTCTTGGTCCATCTTCTTGCTTATGTCGTCTTCCAGCTGCGAGAAAGCCAGCGACAGCACGCGGAAACAAACGGTGCTCTTGGAAACAGGGTGTTTCAGAACGCTCTTGGAAGAGCCGTGCGGGAGTCAAATGGTCTCCTAGCGGTTAGATTGCGAATGTGATTTCTAGAGTTTCCTTAGTGATGAATTAAATACGTGAGCTGGTCAACTCTGTTCTCAGCCTCAGTTTCCCCTGCTGGAAATGGTTCCCAAAGTCCTTTCCACCTATGATATCTATCTATCTTTTTAAAGTTTTATTTTCTGAGACGGCAGGGTCTTACTTTGTAGCTCAGCCTGGCCTTGAACTCATTATGTAGCACAGTCTGGCCTTGAGCTCGAGGGAACCCTCCTGCCTCAGCCTCCTGAGTGCTGGTATGACAGATGTGTGCCACTATATTCAGCAAAATGATCCAAATGACCTTTTTAGAAAGAAACAAAAATTTTTTGGATGCTGCTTCAGACTCAACCCAGAGTCTTTGTACTGAGCTATATCCCTAAACCTTTTTAAAATTTTGGAGCAAATTTTTAAAATTTAAAAATTTTTGCTAAGTAACTAAGTTGCCCAGGGTGGCCTAGAACCTAATCCTCCTGCTTCAGCCTCCTAGAGAATTACTTGTGCTTGGCTTAGAAGACATCTTAATTTTGCGTATTTGGGGTTGTATAAAAAATGATACCTTAAGGGTTGTTTTAAAAACACGCTTACATTAAAAATAAGCGGGACTCTTGTATTTGAGTTTATGTGCTTTCACATTTGGGATTTTGGAATCAGGCACACACAGGTGCTAATGCCTGTGTCATCTCTAGATTTGGAGTGGGGAGCAGTGGCTCAGCTTGAGTCTGTCACAGGCAGATTCCCAGGATGGCCGCTGGTGACACACAGGAACCCAAAGTCGGGTCTGCTTGTGGTTACCTCCGCGTGGCACCCTGGGATTTCCAGCCACGCCCTGAGACAAGCTGCGGTATCTGGGGGACAGAACCTGGGGTGTCACAGAGCCTGGGGTGCCATGGTGACTGCAGACTGACAGCCTGTGCTGCTTGGCTTTGGGGGAGGGAGAGGGAGAGAGAATGGAGCCTCCAGCCTGGAGCGCTTCCCCATAATGAAATCCTCAGGGTTTCTCCGTCCATCTCCATCTCGACAGACTTCCCAAAGGTTGAGTGGAGAGGATTCTCTGAAGGAGTTTTCTGTTTAAAAATGCCCCAAGCCAAAGTGATACGATAGGCTCACTTTTAAAAATTTTGCACTTATTCATCCTGTATTAAATTTCATCCTGTATTGAATTTCTACTACTGCTGAGAATTTACTTGGTTGATAATTTTCAGAAGTTCTCGTCTATTAATTTTCTCCCCTTCTCATTGTAAAAGTTGAGCGCACTGCTCCAGGGCTGAAATCCAAAGTTCCAGTGACTTTACTTAAATCTGGTCATTTTCTATAAAACCTGAAATGGTACCCAGGGGTGGAATTTATAATGTCACTAACATGAGTTACAAATAAAGCCTGAGGTTTCCTAGCAGTATTTTATTTTTCTTTTGATGATGTTTTTAAGTAAACTTTTTTCTTTTTTTGCCAAGAATTTGGGTACCTAAAATAGAAATTGAGCTCGAATATACTAGATGCACTAAAAACAACACCAAATAAAACCATACCTCAGACTGAAAAACTCAAACTCCCTCAGTTTCTGAATCTTTGTTTCTAAAAATCTTTGCTTTTAAATTCGTTGAAAGACTCAGACCGGAAGGAATTACTAAGGTCACTTTAAACCTGAGTGTTTGAAATTTAGCTTTTAAGTGGGTTTGCTCTCTCTCTTTCTAAAGGCTTCTGTATTGCAAGGCTGTGTAGAGCATAAACGTTTCATACAGCGCAAAAGCCAAAGACCTCTTCGGAGAATCATTTCTGATTTGGGGGACTTTTATTGTCACAAACTGTCATTTGTTACCACCTGGTATAAAACTGAACTCATTAAACAGAAACAGGAGCCTCCTGGAAAGACTGGATTTTTCCTCAAGTGGGTGCCCAGCAGGAAATTTCACTCCAGGCTTGTATTACTGAGCTGTGATTTGAACCCTGCATCTTGGTAACTCCCCACGGCCTGCCTGCCAAGGGTACCTGAGATACTTCCTCCCCCCAGGACACCTAACCTGGCTGGGTGCACCATGTTAGGGCTCCCGGATCCTCGCGATTTCAGCCTGGTCATCTGGCTCGGGATCCAACACCCCCATCCCTTTCCACGGGGCGGGTGTCACCGTGGTTTTCCCCTTTGTCATCCGGTCCCCCCCTGCACGGAAGACCTCAGCCCCTCCTTCCCCTCGCTCCGCATCCACAGGGAGCAGGGCAGGACCTGGCAGACCTGAGCTTCCTCTTCCTCCGGGGAGATCATTACCTGCATCCTGGCGGACAGCACCGCTTCTATCTGATTGCTGCTGAGGAGCTGGGCACGGTGTGCCCTGATCTCGCGGAGGAGCCGGGATGGTTCCATTCTCTCCCCATCCTCCACCTGGCTAACCGAGCCCCATGGGTGCCTGAGTCGCTGCGGCTGCTGCCGAGGTGGCTGCTGCGGCTGGGCTGGCTGCAGGCAGAGCGGCCCTGCCTACGTCTGCCTGCCGAGCAGACAGCCTTAAAGCCGCAGAGCGTCTTTTACCGGGCTTAGGGTTTTCTGATCAACGGTGCAAGTGCAAGCCAAGCCCTTTGCTCCCATCATCCTGGATCTAGAAGGCAAGCCGGGATCTCCAGGAAAGCAAAGCAAGTGGGGTCATCCATGATGTCCCTGCTCTGCTCCCCTGTTTATTTTATTTTAATTTAATTTGGTTTGACTTAATTTTATTTTTTGAGACGGGGTCTCACTATGTAATTCAGGCTGGCCTCGTACTCACAGAGATCCTCCTGCCTCAGCCTCCCCAGTCCTGGGATTACACATATGTACCCTCACTCTCTACTGCACCCCTACTTACATGCCGCCTCACTCTCTGCAGGGTCTTGTTAATCTCTGCTCTGTGGGAGGGGGAGTTGGTTTATTTTGTGCAAAGGAAATGGTTATAACATTAAGGATATTCTGTTTAGGTTCCCCAAGCTATCGCATAGCTAAACTTTTATAGTTTTCCTCACTATTTGGGTACCTCTTGTGTTACAAGACAGAGTCCTGCTATGTAGTCCAGGCAGGCCTTGAGCTCATGAGGAGCCTCCTGCCTCAGCCTCCCGCCTGGCTCATTCACCCACTTTTCAGTCCTACTTTGTTCAACCCACAAACATAATTCTCGACTTCCCAGTAGCCACATCAAAAGACAGGAGCAGAAGCACATGAAAGTAATTACAGCATTATTTTTGCCACACGGTGCACACCTGTAAATCCCAGCTCCTGGGGAGACGGAGACAGGAGGGTCATGAGTTTGAGGTCAGCCTATGCAACGACTTAAAAAAATTACTTATCTCAATGTATCCAAAATATGGTAATCCATACAAAATACCATGCATAGATAAAATACCAGTGTGGAAATTTTCTACACTATCTTTGAAACACAAAGTGTATTTGTAGCCCATCTCAATTTGTTATTTTTTATTGCTAGTTTATCAGTACAGTTTAGTAGTACAGAATGATCACATCCATCATAGGGAGGTGTCTCTGTACATGATGTGTCTTGATTCCTCTTTTTCTCCCATTCCCCCTCCCCTCTCTTCAATCTCTCTCCTTCTCCTTATTTATAAAGCTTTGTTTCTGTTTTTCCTTCTTTTCTCATTTTTTTCTTTTTCCTTCCTTCCTTCTCCCCTCCCTAGTTCCCCTTTCCTTTTGAACAACTTCTTCCTATTTTACAATATCTATTATGCATTTTTCTTTACATTTTCAGTTTCTCACTCCAGAGTCAATGTAATATTTACATATCTGTATCCAATTTATTGCACTTAAGAGTACGGTCCCAAGGTCCGTCCATTTAGCCAGAAATGTCTCAAGTTTTTCCTTTTTTATGGATGTGTAGCACTCCACTATATTGAAAACCTGCATCTTTTTTATCCTTCCATCTGTGGATGTTTCCCACCTCAATTCGGACAAGTCACATCTAAAGTACTCAGTGGCTTCTGAACTGGACAGGGCTCTGTGGCTTGCTGAGGTGATAGTTCCATGCCCGGAACACTCCGCATTCACACTCGGAAACACGATTTACCTACTTATGTGTGTGTAGAGGCCATAGTCACAGGTTTCTTTGGAGGAGGTGCATTTAGAAATACATTCTGCAAGCTTGTATATAATATTATTAATTATCATTATTTTGGTTTTTTGAGACAAGGTCTCACTTTGTAGTTCAGGCTGCTTTGAGCAAACTATGTCACCAAGGCTGTGCTCAAACTCCTGATGATCCCTGCCTCAGCCTCCTGAGTGCTGGGATTACAGGTGTGCACCACCACACCTGGCCCAGGCAGTTCTTGAGGTATCAGCGATAGTTACTCTGTCCTCTTACACTGCAGAAATTGTATCAGAATGCAAAAAAGTATCATTCTTAGAGGAAGGATCCCAAATCTACCGTAGTTAGTAAAAAAGTAAATAATTTACAGATGTACAATTGTAACATACCTTAGAGCTGCCAAAATGCAATGGCTGAGGACCCTGTGTGTGCAAGCACTTGGGGGAAAATTTAAAAAATAATGACAGGGGCAGTTGGGCTGCCACACATCTATCATCCCAGCACTCTGGAGGCTGAGGCAGAAGGATCCTGTGAGTTGGAGGCCAGCCAGGGCTACGCAGTGAGTTCAAGACCACTTGGACTACATAGTGAGACCCTGTCTCAAAAAAAAAAAAAAAAAAAAAAAAAAAAGAGTGATGGATGTAGCTCCATGGTGCAGCCCTTGGCTTGCACGTACAATGACCTGGCTCCATCCCCAGCCCTGGGGTTGGCCTGGAGGGGTGAGCAGAAGGTGGCATGTGTGTCTCCTGCCCGGAGGTTCTCATTTATTGAGCTTGGGGTGTGACTTGGACATCAGATTTATAAAAATCCTCCCTGGTGAGAACTGCTGAGACACACTGAAAGGAGGCCAACTGCAGATGCGGCAATTCTGAGACTTCACACTCAGTGCAGGCAGGCAGGCAGGACGTGAAGATTGCTCTGTTTCCTGTAAGAATGAATCTTTAATCAGAGCTCTGTTCAATGTTCAATAAAGGATGTATACTGCGTCTCACCCACTGGGTCTCCCTCCTTTCTCTAAGACATTGGATCTAAATTTGGGGGGAGTTAAAATATTTGTATGTGGGAGGACCATTGAATCATTGCTATTTTCTGTCCGAGTTTGTTTATTTAGACAGTTGTTGTTCTATAGGAGAAATAGCATGAAAACAATAATCTTATCTTAGCCCCAACCTAGAAATCCCCTCCACAAAGGTGATGAAACCATTACCGAGTAGGCCGTGAGCCAGAATGTCTGTGTATCGCAGGTTATCTGCTAAGAACCTAGAAGACAGAAGAACGTCTGATCCCTCTTTACGGACACAATCTATTCTATGAGTTCCCAAGAAGCAAAACTAATCCGTAACTAAAAGGCACGGGCCACCGTGTGTCACCTGTGGTTCGTCTGAGTTTACCCAGCAACTGGGAATCACCTATGTCCATTAATTGCCTTTTTTCAAGGGAAAAACAAATTTTTCACACCTTTAGGACAGGAGTTACTTTTACAATTCGGCGTAAGGTGTGGCTTGCACGGAAGCTGGGGGAGAAGGGAAGCTTGCGTTGTTATTCTGTCTTCTAAAAGGGGTCCTGCCAACTGATACAACTCACAAGGGTCTGGAGGACATTATGGTAAATGCCAAAGGCCTGGCCTGGCAGGAGAAAATGTTATCTGATCTTACTAATACATGGAATCTTAAAAACAAAAAAGGGTCAAATACAGAGAATAAAATAGCATTACCTGGGGTGTGGGTGGGGGAGGGAGTGGGAGATAAGGATCGCGGGGTGCCAAGCGGCAGACAGAGAGGGGAGCGAGTCTAGAGACCCTGTGCATGAGGACTATAGGTAACAGAAGTAGGTAGTATTTGAGATTTGAGATTTTTATTAAGTACATTTGAGCTGTTCTTGTCACCAAAAAATAACTACACGGGATGATCATTTAATTTGCTTTGCTCTACTATTGTAGCATCCAAACGTGTGCCGCAGGATTACACTGTAATCTTGAAGGATGCTCCATAAAATATATTTTAAAAAAGACAATAGTCACAGAACAAGGGGAGGAGGAACATCCCTTCTATTTTTAACGGGAGGATTAGGCCTCTTATTTTTAGTTCGCGTCTGTCCTTCCAGCTTCTGTCCCTCCTCCTGTCCTGGCGGGGGGCACGGAAGAGTCAGGTGGCTTGTGTCGGCTCCATCTGTCCAGAGCCACTCGGCCCTTGGCCCTCTCCTGGGGTGACAGATCCTGGAAGCAGGGCACTGCGCTCCGAGGTGGTCACTTTGCCAAGGCTCCTTCCACTCCTGCTTCTTGGTGGGGGCATCGGATGCAGAAGCAGGGCCTGAGGTTCCCCTCTAGGGGCCCCGACCCTGTCTGTGTCAGTGACCATCTTTTCTTTTCCCTCCCTTCAGTCTGGCTGGGGAGGCTGTTCCTCTCTTTTTTTCTTTTTGAGACAGGGTTCCGGCTGGCCTTGAACTCACTTTGTAGCCTAAGCTGGCCTCGAATGCTGTAGGATCCTCCTGCCTCAGCCTCCCTAGTGCTAGGATCACAGGTGTGCACTGCCACAGCTGGCAGCTGTTCCTTTCTTGAGGGCAGGGTGGGAAATCTTGCTCTGAGGGCTGGAACCTCAGCCACATGACCGGTGCATTGCACCCCTTGTGTCACTGGAGGGACGTGGACGGCTCTTGCCAGGTGCAGAGCAATCAGAAAGCATGTTGGATGGAAGGTGTTCACTCTGAACACGAATCGGGGCCTGAGACTCCTTCACTCTTAAAATCAGAGTTGGAGAGACTGTTTGGCTTCTGTGTTGCCTTTCCTGAGAGACAATGAAGCAGATAACAGTGTCATCCAGGGAAAGAGAAACCAATCCAAGCATCCCCGAGCTTTAGTCTGCAGCGCACGCAGCACTTGTTTTTAAGACTTTGTGACGTAAACTTGCAAGTTAGTGTTCTAGGGTCTGCGCATGTCCCATGCTTGTAGTGTTTTGAGCATTTGCTGCAAATTAGCTGTATTTAATTTCATTATTTTGTTTTCTTGTGCCAAGTAACTGCTTTGACCTAAATGTTCCACTTTTAAATGATTGTTCTGTTTCTTCCCTTGTATCTCTTTCTTTCTTGATCCAAAAGAAACCTTCTCATATATTAAACTAGTTCATGTCTTCCATATTTTCTTTAGACTCGAAGGAGGTAAAGGAGGCCGATTATCGAGAGACAGGCAGGGAACTTGAAATCACTGTGTTCTCCAAGTTTTTGGTGTTTTTAAATCCAAGCAAATCAGGTGTGCATTCGTCCTTCGTGATGGTTTTTATTTTGCTGCCGGGGATTGATCTCACCACCTCATGCCGCCAGACAGGCGCTGAGCTGCTGAGCTCTGTCCTCAGCCATCCTGGTGAATTTTCACACTGGCAGTTTGGTACTGAATCTGT